ATGAGGTAAGTAGCTCAAAAAGAACCAAAATATATTTTAATTTATATGATGTCTATAAAAAAAGTAATATGAAAATTTTGTAAAAATATCTATAATCTATAATATATACTAAGTTTATTTCAATTCCAATAACAACAAAGAAACCAAAACAAAAAAATTGGTGAGTGTTGGAAAAATATTCAAGTTGTATACGATTATTTGGAAAGTACTGTGAATTATCTACTTTCAAAGTTTCAACTCAAAGTAACAACTAAATCAAATATTATACCAGAAATCACACTCAATTTTAAACTTTTAAACATTTTCAGTGCTCCAAAACTCGAAGACAAGCACAGTAAATAAATAAAAAAACACATAATTGTGTAAAACCAATACGTTAATCGCTCCACTCAGAATCTAAAATGTTTATCGATAGAATTAATTAATTTTTTTATAAAAATCCATTTGTTTGTAAATAATTGAAACGAAATTTTTCATGGCACGATGCGTTGCTAGTCGGAAAATACGTTCCTGACGAAATACTATTTTTTATAATACAATATATATTAAACAGTTATTTTAGCCAAAACATCCAATTTTCATTCTATCATACTGATCGATCTAGTAATGTGATAACACTTTTTAAAACAGATTTGAACTCGTTATTATGTCTACATGAGATTGGTCAGTCCACTTTTCGCAATTTCACCCCCCTCCCCTCTAAAAATGTAGCTTGAATATTTTTATACTTCGGAAATTTCAAAAGTTGATTATTCTGGATTTATTCGGAATTTAAAACAGAAATCTTAAAATGTGGACTGACCGATCCCTAACAAATTCAGACCAGTTTTCAGAAATATTATAGCATTATTAGATCGATTGGATGGAACAAAAAAGAAGGAGCGGTAAGTTGTAGAGACTGTCCGTAATAGATTGATTATAAATATCTTGCATTCTTGGGTATATTGATAATATATTGCTACACTATACGTATATTATTAATTTATAATTATTATAATTAATAAAATTTATATGCAATAAGTATATTATAATATAGGTATATAAGTATTGAATTGTAAATAGGTAATATATTTTTTGTCACGCCTGCACCGAAAGTTTGGTTTTCGACCTCGATTGAAGCGTTGGAAAACGACCTTTTTCCATCTATCGGGCCGTAAAGTGGGAATGGGAATCCTCATAGTGCCGGGGAAAAAAGTGGATATCCTCAAAAGTGCTGGGCGTGTATATCTCGCGTATTCCATGCACAACCAGACACTGAAATCTATACCACGGTCCTTACAACGCATAAACTTTTGGTTACATCTTATATACATATTATAATCTCCTTGCATGACGCTTAAACATTTTTATTTCATAAATTTTTTTTCGTAGAATAATTTGATTGTTGCATATATCCCTAATAGTGCTTTGCCTTTGCTTGATTAAATTTTTTTGTGTGTCGCGTTTGGTATAGATTAGGTTATAGAAAACGGGTATAACACAATAGGATTTGAAACAGAGTAATAAGATCTGCATATTATGCATTTATAATTATTATAATTTATAAACTAATTATAATAGTAATCAATTTGGTGAATTTAACATGAAATTTAAATGAGAAGAAATCGGAAACTTTTAAAACTTTCCTTTTGGACACATTCAACAAACATTACATATGATAAACAATCCAGCAGAATCTACAAGACTACAACGAGAGATGACACCTGCATTATCGATGCAGTATTTTCAAGTATTTTATTTGGAAAAAATTACATCACAAACATACATATCATATTTCAGTTATCACAGGCCTATAATTTCGATTATTGAATATGATTAATATAATAGTAACTAAATAGTAATAATAATAATTTTCATTTTCATTTATTTTTCACATTTACTTTTATTTTGAATGGTTCCACTAAAGTGTATTTGTAATCTATAATATTTTTTGGAAAACAAATTTCGTTTCTACCGGGTGTCCCATGATTTTAATTCTATAAGTTTGATAACTACTCTTAACACTAATGAAAACGTACCTACCTATATTGTTTAATTAATAATTCATCTTTAAAAAAATATTTTATGTTATAAGTACAATAAATACAATTTATAATATTATTTTAAATATTTAAATAAGCACATTAATTGTGTAACAACCAAAGTTCATATTATCATAATTGTATTATTCACTGAAGAATTGTATTAAACAAGAGAATTATAATTATCGTAGACTAATTAATTATGTTCATAATAAATGGCAATGACAAACATGGAAATTTGAGGGTGTACATTAATACATTTTCAAAAACTATAGTCTGGGTGGATTATAAATCAAATAAACAAACTCGAAGAGCTTACCGCTCTCGATAAATAGCTATAGCCATTTTTACCCGCTCAACTTACTATTTCTTTTTTTTAAATATTAATTTCATTCTTATTAATCTTCCGCCTCCTTCTTTGAATAGTGTCCCTCGAGAGAATTAACTTGCGGCAATGTTGACGTAATTAATATAAAACTCGCAGTTAATATTTATTTAATTACGAGACCAACTCAACAGTTTATTATTTCTCTTTTTTCATTACCTCAACCATTCTCGATCCTCTTGTTCATCTCCCACAAAGATCATACACTTCTATTAATCCATTTTAACGACTTCATTTATTACGAAAATAACAATACGTATTAAGTATTATTATTAAATATTTTTGAATATTTGTCAAGGAGATTATAAACTGTTCTTGGCAGCCACTCGATGATAATGGCAAGTTTAAAATTATGTAAATTTAGTTACTTTTTTTATGCACATAATTATTTTATTATAATAGTCTACAGATCCACTAATATACATAATGTATAAATAATAATTTATAAAAATTTTACTCTATTGGAAATGTGTCAAATTGCAATACTTAAATAAAAGATAAGACCAACATAAAATGTTACATGAATGTATAATTCTAGTTTATACTAAGTATGATTGATCTTAGTTGGAATAACCGCTGCTTTGAGTTTTATGTGGTGCCCTAATATTGTACAAGATGGCCTAAGTGTTTTAGTTCTTAATAATTTATTTATTGTTTTGGGTAAATATGGTAGTATAGAATAAATGACAAATTTTTATTTTTATATTTATAGTTTATAAAATCATTTAACTAGCTACACTATTAAGTATATTATTTATAATTTGTATCAAAAGTTTACGTACTATAACTTAAAAGGCAATTAATGAATAACCCATTTGCTTATCTTTTATCCTAGCAAAACTTTACTACTAAAAGCAATTAAAAATTAATTATTATCAGATAGTTTATGAATTACTTTTGATTTTGTGTAATATAACATGAACCGTCATAAAAATGTTTTAAGTTTTTCTAAGCAATAATAATAATATATTCACTAAATAAATTTGGAGTTTCCATTTGAAGTTTAACTTTTACGGTGGAGAAATATTCTCAAAAATATATGTGGAAAGTTATACAATTCATTAGAGTTTAAATTGAAAAACGTAAATCCCTGAGAAACCCAGAAAAAAAAACTTTCAACTTCGACACATTTTTTTCTTTTACAGCCCATCAATTTACGCCACACTCAATTTAAACTCGAGCACATTGTAAACTCTAAACCTTTACACGTTACTAATAACATTCAAATGGGCGAATGTTTTTATTCCAAAAATGGAATTTTCAATTCTTCTTTTATTAAACGAATTAAAAAACTTTTCCCTTGAAAAAAAAATGTAAAACCTATTTTTATATATCCCCACCTTTCAGATGCAGAATGAAAACTTTTCTGAATCAAGAACAAGATGATTATTATTCAGTTGGAATATGCCTAACAATAAATATTTGAATCCAATTAAATTATGATGAGTCCCAAAAGAGCTATACAAGTGATTGTTGTAAAAGTTATCACAAAAATAGTACAAATTGAGTAATCTTCTAAAAGATATAAAAAAAAAACGTACAAGATATTGTATATAATGCCTTCAAGAACAATAAGCGCAATTATAAATTAACGAATACGGAATAGCTATAATATTATAATATGTTGGCTTGTATCAAAATAAAACTGCATCAGCTGTATTATAATTAAACTCAAACATTTTAAAACGTCCAACTTTTGTTCCAAAAACTATATTTTATTCAATCGACCAAACGTGTAGGTGTGCTATTTAAAACGTTCGGATCCATGTAATGAATCCATGCATAATTTTTTATATATATTTTCATAACACAATTCAAAAGATTTTTTATTATAATTAAAAATTCAACTACCTATTTATACAGAACAATTAGATTTATTCAAAGTATACGACTATCGCGTAACACGTAATATCATTGTTGTGATACGATTAAAATATTAAAAACAAAAAAAAATGTTTAGTGTTCCCGAAAAGTGTTATTATTATATAATTATAATCACGAATGCTATACCGAGGTATTATGATTTATATTTGTATCCGATTAACATATTATAGGCTGCTTAATATTATACCTACATACATTATATTATGAAATGTAGTATATAATATACATCTATCTACATGTATATATGTATGGTTCGGGAATAATGCGTTTAATTTAAATACTCAGGGATTTTCATGAATCTGCATAAAAAAATGTTTCGAGTACGAACCGTATATAATGATAAATACAAACGTAGACATTTCGATTTGGTTTAATAATTGGTATAAACAAAATATATGCAAAATACTAATATTTCGATATTTAAGCCCAACATGAATATCGCACGTATCACTTATTTTAGTATAGGTGCCTACCTAATCAGATCAACTAGATAATTGATAAGGTCTGTTGCTTCTATATTTATAATTATGTTTTAATAGTGTAAATAATACTTCAGTTGGTTATACAATAAATTATCCATGTGGACATTACTATATGAGTTTATTATTTCGGTAAATAATAAAAATCAGTTTTTTTATTCCCAATTAAAGCTACCTATTTAAAATATATAAAAAAAAAATGCTAGTAATAATTAAATAATTAAATTTTACCTTGATCGGCGAGTCGTTGGATCTTTCATAACCATCACTTCAGTTATCTCTCCAAACTTACTGAAGTACTCTCTCAATGATTCTGAAACAAATAAATAAATAACCACATCAGTATACGAATGGTATAATATAATATTATTTAACAGTGACTTTTTAAATGTTGTCTGTGACAATACTACCATAATTAGAACAATTCAATAACTATTATACTTATGGGACGAAATAAGTGGTTAAATAATAAGTATGTATCTAGTTTCGTTTAGTTCCCCCGCACTTTTCTAAAAAACTAATGAACATTGAAATGCATGGACCTAAATTGTATTGTAATAAGTGTTAACTCTAAAATCTAATGATGTTTGCGAATTTTATTTAGTGCTATAATTGTAATAGTTTAATATATAGTTATTGAATTCCGGCTAGGTATTTAAACGAAAAGTATAACTACCAACTGAGGCACATGATGATTTTGAGTAAAATATATAATCAACTAGAACTTGGATAGTATTTGAACATGAACTCAATATTACTATATTAAATTATCTTATACTTAACGGGACTCAAATAATATATAAGGACCTGAAACCCGATGATTCATTCCAATTTTTCTAAAAAGTTTTATTGCTCGACGCAGCTCATATTATGCTGCCTATTTAAAAATAGTTTTCGTCTAATTGTCAACGAATAAAAATCAATTTAGTTTCATGGAACAACATTCCTTCTTTCACGTACACCGACTAAATGCGTAAACTTATATCCTCTTAGGAAATTGGTTCCCATTTTAATCAAAGGTCATAATATGTTCAAAATATTTTATTTTATTATTTAAGTGAAACGCACAATATAATAATAGTGTATACGCACGCACAATACACGTCTGGCTTCAGTGGTGGCAGGAGAGCAGTGGGGAAGTAACACGTTCTCCCTGATAAATCCGTCGGTGGAAATATGAGTACAAGAGGGCGGAATCTCTAGAGAAACGGCGGCATTTCTCTCACACGGAAAACGTATATAAATACTTTACATCCCCAAAAGATTCGTAGAGTTTCCCGCTAATATATATTATCTCCGGAAAACCCTACCCCATCGATCGTCATCGCCCTCGGTCTATTCATTATACAAGTATATAAGCACGCTGCACGTCAACATGTCCGCGTCGGAGGTTTCGTTGACGAGACGTACACGACACACGCACGACCCGCGCAACGGTTTCCGAACTTTGCCACGATTTTCCTGTGTACTCGCCATAGAGAACCTCGGATTTGATAATGCAAACGTTATAAAATTATTGGGTTTTAGTATAATATTGTAAATAATACTGCCGGAAAAATCACCTCCGAGGTTGCTTGATCGCGACGTATGACAGATCTCTGCAGTGTCGAATAGATATTTTGCCTTTTTTTCCATGAGAAACTTGAATGACTAGGGACAAGAAATTATTAATCCCCTAGCCGCAGTTAATCCAGCCACTCGGCGAACACCACGTCGCGGTATATTAATATTTAATAGTATTATTATCAATATATTTTGTGTTGAGTTGTTATGTGGAGACTGATGACGAACAGGGAAAAAAGACAATTCGCCGTTGCATATATTATTTTAATATTATACCATGACGGTATAGTCGGCTGATTGAATAACTACCAACCTAACGACGTTATTTACCGATTCAAGCCAGTACACTCGTCTTACCGACACTGCTAAAATACAATTTATTATTGTGGATGTGGGCATACCAGGTACACTGTTTTCCGAGAACGTCATCCGTTACAATATTCGTCACAGTTTGGCCAGTATATGGAGTTTCTCGCGGGGTGGCGGACGACGGGTGCGAAAACACACATTCGACATATTATTTGCCCTTCCCAGATTATAAAATTTGACAAATGTGTTAGTTGAAAAACTTTCACACACACACACATACATTATAATAATATGTGGACCAGCGGCCATAAGTTCTAATGCGTTTCCGAAATTAAAATCGATACCATATAGTCGCCCTGCAGCAATACAAACTATTTACAGTGTTGGCCTTTGTATTTTTCCTCGAAAAAGAAAACACCGTACCGTTAGCAATTTTTCCGAAAACCGACCGATTTGAAAACGTGGTGCTTGACATGGCGGTGACCACTGTTAGTAATGATTCGACGATTTTTCTGACGAATTAAAACTCTGGTTATTGGACGGTATTTAACAGTGTATTATTCACCTATATGGCGTATTTTGCAAATAATAATATACTGTTTGTCGAAATTAATAAATGCACTAATAGCTAGGTAGATAGGTACTTTATCCATATTAATTATTTTTACCATCCAAAGGATTATAACGCATATTGAAATATCATAATATACCCGAGAACGACGAATTTCAACTCACATTTAATTTTTATTTTATTATACCTATATTATTTGGTTTAAATTAAGAGTGATGATAGATATTTATGTATAGGGTTTTATTTGTAATATATCACCGTTGTAAAAAAATAATAAATATTAAACGATTCTCCAGCGAACGGGTTAGGTTTGCATTGCTCACTCAGTCCAAAAATAATATTGGATAGGTATATGAAGGAACGTTTCGAAAAACAAAAGATTTCAAAAGTGACGCGAGGGCCGCGGGGATTTCCGATCGCATTGAACAATGATAATATATCATACAATATATTATTTTAAATCCATATATTTTATCAACACAACAATAATACCTATTATGAGCAAAATAATATGTACAATTTTCGCAATTTTCGTGTTACGTTTCTAGACAGCCGTCGAAGGAACGAACATTATACTGTCATCGAATGTTTCGTCAGCGGGCCGCCTACTATATGTGCTAAATCAAAATCTTCGAAAACAAAAAAGTAAAAACAATTCTAATAAAATATCATACTATAATAATAGTTTAATACTATCGCCCCGTTTGTGAAACGGGAGCCGAATGCAGACTTGTGTTTGACTGTTGCTTGGCGAACAGTTATACAACTAGCTAAAGTTCCTAATACGATTTGGTTGAACACTTATACTTAGTTTAAATAGCAATAAGTATTTTAGTTTTATTACAAAATTACAAAATAATGGCCGCTTATACTAAAATAAATAGTTAAACCTTTTATCATAATTAGTAGGGTCAAATATATAAGTAAACTATCGTCACTTATTTAAATACCTAGTTAGAAGTCGTTTGTTTTGACTATATTATACTTAAATTATAAGATTATAGATCTACTTGTATATTATGTACATACCCCAACTATAGATCTATATCAACTACAAGTCCTGACGGGGCTTTGGTGAGAATTTGCAATGTTTTTATGGTGTTTATTAAATCAGATTCTTTTAACATTACATTTTTGTGGAATGGTTGTATTATGAAATATTATATGTCTTACAAAAATATCCAGTCGATAAGGTCGATAGTAAATAAAAAACACAGGTGCCACTAGTTTCTGTGCTCGAAAACCCGTCTTTATGACGACAAAGGAAAAAATACAGTATTATATTGTAAATAGATTATTTTTAAATGTTCTTATTTTTCCTAGGGAAGAGTGCTGCAAGTATACTCATTGCATATTATAAGTGCATTGTAGTAAGACGTCATATCGTAGGTATAAAAATAGATACGATATTATAACTAGACCCGTCGCTGTTTAGGTACGTAAATCGAGTACAGAAATGGGACAATCGATTAAAAAGTTCTCGTGCAATACCTAAATGTGCCTATAATGTCAACCTATTTATTATTTTTCATCTGATGATAACTTAAAAACAAAACGAACTGCAAATCACAATTTTATTATAATAAATTATCATGATCATATTATAATGATATTATCATACTGATGGATTTACGTTTATCCATTTTATTACACATTATGGTCCATAGGTATATACATATATAACTAGGTATTATACAATACGTTTAACATTGTGTGTCCATTATTACTACACGCGACCGTACACAAATATTAAATCGCAAGTAAAAAATTAATCGACGAATCCCAGACAGATAAATCGTATTTATTTTACACAGTTATTATTACTTTTTTTTTTTTCGCAAAAATCGATTATCGCGTATACGAACAAATTGCGTTTCGTTATACTCGACGACCATTCGAATGCACTATAATTGCGGCGGCGGCGATGCGCAATAGGAAATCGAAATTATTGTTTTATGAGTCTCGAAGAGTATTATACAGATGCACTACAAAATCGTATAAATATATTATTATACACAATCGTATTATGTATATATATCATTGGTTTTGTCTCGTTCTCGATTCTCGTTAATGAAGTCCGAGAATAAGGATATTACAATTTATAACTATTGTATTTGCCAAGATTGTTATCCAATACACATTTTATTGGTAGGTAGGTACTCAAATAATGATTAAATCAAATGAGCCAAAACTAAATTGTGAGAATTAATTCTATAAAATGTGAAATTTTTTAGATGTGGAACGAAATGAGAACGTATTAGCATTTAGTTGATGATGAGGTATTTTTGTTTAGGCAGATCTGTGTAAGAATTGTATAAACATTTTATTATAACGGTAAATGGGGTAAAAATAACTCACAAACTAATTTGAAGTAGTTTTACATCATTAAATTGAAACTATTGACTGCATTTGAGATTGCGATACACCGATAGGATTAAATAAAAAAAAAAAGTTTTAGTGTTCTCGGCCTTTGAGGTGTATCTGATTTTCTATACCTTACATATTATGGGTATTTCGAATAATTTTAATTATTGGAAACACCGAAATTTTTTTTTACATATTCAATGAAAATATCGAATTTTCTACGTATGCACGGATTTTTTTTTTTTGAAAGCCATTTTGCTTCAACCGTTCGGTGTGACCAATATAAATATATAATATATAATAAGATTTTGAAATATTTAAAGCCTCGATCGACTACCACGAAGTTATTTCGATCAACGACCGCAACTATAGTGTTTTCATTATTATAACAATATAGCCGCCGGTGTGTTATGTATTTAGTCGAATGAATAATAATTATTGTCGCAATACAATTTATAAACGAACGCACGGTGCACGGCATAGCAATAATAATAATAATAATAACATAATTATTTAAACAAACCATAATCGTTATTGGAAAATCGATTTCAGCGAAAAACGCTCCGGCAAAATTCCAGGAATAATGTCTGGTGGGGGACGGGGAGATGGTTAAATTAGACTTTTCGGAAACTAAACGAAGCCGCCTCTACGAGCGGACTTTCAGGGTATCAGTCGATAAATTATATTATAATATTGTGCACGTGCACAACTGCTAAATTATTATACTATTATTGTTACTGCGATCGGGCGAGGTGTTCCAAGAATCAAAACGATGCACTGTGACCGGTGGTCGGGTGAATAATAATATTATAATTAGTATGATATTGCTCGACAGACGTTTAATACATTTATATTGTAATATTGTATATTATATTATTATAGATTTGAAGACAAAACGGACGGCAGGCAAAGCAAAACTATTGCAGAGTTTTAAAAAATGAAACGATTGGCGAGTTGACGTGGTCATCGCATCTCGACATGATATTATTATTATTATTATACATAGTTGGGTATGTATCCCAAACGAGAATTATTGAAAATACTCGATGACTTACACACGGGTACAGAATGGCAGAGGAAGAAGTCCCACGTGCGAAGTCTGAGGTGCTAAACTGACTGTGAAACATAATATTATGCCTTAAATAAAGGCGAGGTCGACAAAATATCGGAATAGATCTGATCCTTGACACTGCACTAGGACCTGAAACCGAAGGCTACACAGAGACGATATCCTTCTTAACAACACCGGGTATGTAACTCAACTTAAGAACCTTAGGACCTCACAAAATTCCGAAAATAATTTATTCTGCGGCATATATTGTATAAAATAGTATTATGCATGTTTTGCTTCAGAATCTGTGGCTCGATATTTTAATACTGCACATTTTGTCGTCGAAACAGTTTACTATTTTTCATAGTAAATTAATAACACACATAATATTATTATAATGTTTGCACTCGCTTTTTTTTCACGTCCGTACCTACTGTTTACGTTTAATGCAATTTAATGTACTTTCGTTCGACATATTTTATTTTGATTTTTTCCTCGTATTGTAATGTGGTTCTAAAACGGAATTGTATAATAATATTTTATCGTTTGATTTCCCAAGACGGTTCGCGCCGTACGTATTTCGCTCTCTGGACCATTTCTATTTTCACCAAACCTGCAGGTTACTTCGACAATCGACGAAACCGAAAAGCGGTCGACGATTGCATTCAAAAACGGTAATTATTATTATTTCGTGTTATTACGACGTGGTATACTTTTTCGTTTTTACGAAATGAACATAGGAGACATAATATATTTAGATATTTTCATTGGTCGAAAATAGTATTCAAGGAGATGGGTTATTATTTGAGTTATTGGATATTATATTCTATTATAACAAGGTGTGTAGTAGGAGGAGGGGATTCGACGATTTCCAATGTATGAGGTATATTGTATGTGAATCCGACAAATCCTAGAATTGTACAAGATTTTCTAGAAGAATTCAATAAGTATCGACAAGTATAGTAGTTACTTACCAGCTCGTATCTAAGTCCGAGTCTGGTAAGTTCCGGTACGTTTTACTGGTATATCACATATGCAACTTGTTGGACGTTTGATTTTGAACCGATACCAGTGGGAACACCAAACAATCCAATATCTCCCTTGAATATCATGATAACCCTATATACGTACATGTTTATTAAAAAACAAACTTCTGGTTTTTTTTTTAGGATTCTCCACCACTAGTGCAGACGAGGAACGATTTCAGGTAGAATTAATAATTTTTTGGATAACTTACCACAACAATTCGTCTTTACATTTTCTTTTTTAATTCAAAACGTTTTTTATTATTAAATTTCGAAATTTTTGAGTACTCGCAAAGATGACAAGTTCGAGCCGACATCACAGTTTTTAGGACAACGTATTCTATCCTTGTATACATTTTGTAATACGGTGCTTCTGACAATATTTTTGAATATACGATTAACAATGTAAATCCGAAAGTTGTTATTTTTTTAGTCAAAAAACGTAAATCGGTTCACGTATTATT